TCGTCGTCGTCGTCGTCGTCGCCGCAGCCGCCGCCGTCGTCGTCGTCGTCGCCGCCGTCGTCGTCGTCGTCGTCGTCGTCGTCGTCGTCGACGTCGCCGTCGTCGTCGTCGCCGCCGCCGCCGCCGCCGCCGTCGTCGCCGTCGTCGTCGTCGTCGCCGCCGCCGCCGCCGCCGTCGTCGTCGTCGTCGTCGCCGCCGTCGCCGTCGTCGTCGTCGTCGCCGCCGTCGTCGTCGTCGTCGTCGTCGCCGTCGTCGTCGTCGTCGTCGCTGCAGCGGCCGCCGTCGTCGTCGTCGTCGTCGTCGTCGTCGTCGTCGCCGTCTTCGTCGTCGTCGGTGGCGGCGGCGTTGTAGTCGAGCGAAAAGAGGCCGAGCGGCACCGGGCACGTCGGAGCGCCAGCGTGCAGCCAACGACTGGCCGCAGAGAACCCTCGAGGGGGGACCCACGCCTCGATTCCGAGGGTCGTCTGCGCTGGCGGAAGAGCTAACTGAACGGGGGCACCGTTGTAGCGAATTGGGCCCAAATGCAAGGAACATGGGACAAGACAGGGAGGGCGGCCGAACGAGGGGGAGGAGGAGCGAGGGCCGCTCAGGGGGACGGGTCACACCCGGAGCCCGCGCTCCAGACACGAGAGGGACACGAAGCGCGATGGACAGGACACCGATCAACGGCCACAACGATGATCGATCACACGATCACGATGATCATGATGGTCGCTGTGATCGCTGATCGCTATCATCGTGATCGATAACCGATGATCGTTATCATCGTGATCTTGACCGTGATCGCCGATCGTGAGCACGAGGATACCCTCGGGTTTGCAGGGCCGACCTGCCGATCGGACCCGACTGACGAACAATCGCCCTGCAAGAAGACAGACCGGCACGAGAGTCCGAGTGAGGCTGGCGACGTTCGGGCACGAGCCGGATGGAGAGTGCCTTTGGAACACGCCCCGTCCTCCTGCTGTGGTGGTCCCGAGACGGTGCGGTGACAGACCGTGCGGTGACGGCGGAATCCCCGCTGACCTCATCGCAGGGTCCGTCACCGCACGGTTTTGGGACCCTGGAGGCCCCAGTCGCCCAAGACGACCTCGGAGAACGACCCAAGTCCCAAAACCGTCGTTCGGTCACCCCAGATCTCCACTGGCTTACGACGCCTTGTTGTCCCTGCACCGTTTGGGGGCCCCGATTTCCACTCATCCATTCCTCCTCGCAAAAGAGCTGCACGCTGCCGGAGCCTGGCCTTCAGCGATCTGGACCAGCGACCAAGCATCCATGCCCCGGCGGTCTGGCGGCTGTATTTTGTCGGCAGGCAATGCGTATCAGGAGCAGCGACGGATGCACGGGGCATTCTCTCTCCTCTTCGTCCATCTACCATCCCCCCTCCTACTCTCTCCTCCTGGTCGTCTTCCTGCCCTGGTGGCAACTTTCTCTGGAATCAAGGTGTGTGTGTGTGTGCGTGCGTGTGTCTGTGTATGTGTGTGTGTGCGTGTGTGACAGCTGCATGCGATGATACGGCACCTCGCTGCGGTGCTTTAGCTATGCGAGCTCTCCGCTCATCCCTCTCTCTCTCTCACCCATCACTCACTTACTCACTCTCTCTTTCTCTCTCTCTCTCTCTCTCTCTTTCTCTCTCTCTCCCAGAACGACTCGGGATGAAAAACCAAGCCCAGGAAATGGGTCCGGACCTCTGGGGGTCGCGTCATGATAAAATCATGACGCCGGGGGTCTGGGGGGTCAGGTCGGGCATGTCCTCCTGCAGGCGCATTTTCGAAGAAAAATTAAAACGTTCAATTCGTCATCTCCGTCATTCCTTGGCCGTCGTCTCTGTCGTCCCCTTTCCCTGCCTCCCCCTTTCCCTGGGCTCGTCGAAGCCCCCCCCTTTCCCATGCAGGGACCTCCTCAGCGCGCCAACCAAAGCGAAGTTGAGCAACGTCGTCATTGAGTCGAAAGGAAGTCCCTTCCTTTCGATCCCTCCCCCGCTGGGGGGGGTGTCCCGGGGGGGGTCCCAAAAGGGGGTCCCGTGGGGGGGGGGGTCCCGGGGGGGGGGGTTCAGATACGACGCCCCCCCGGGGAGTCCCGGAGCCCCAAAAAGCCCCAAGACGGGCCAAGAGTGCCCCAAGAGGCCCCAAAGACAGTACAAGAGAACCCCGAATCGCCGAACGATCTGTCCAAGACGCCTTGACGGCCTCCAGACAGCCCAAAAGGCCTGCAAAGCGCCCCAAGAGGCCTCCAGGAGCTTTCGCACGAGAGCCCCAAGAGGCAAAATTCATGGATTTCACATACGTTTTTGAAAGATTTTGGCGTTCTTGCCTCTTCCGCTTCCCGACGCGCCAAGACGGCCCAAAAGGCCCCCAAGATTGGCCCGAAACGGCCCAAGAGGCCCCCAAGAGGGTCCCCTAACGGCCGAAGAGGGCCCCAAGACGGCCCAAGACGCCTCCAAGACGGCCCAGGAAGCCCCCAAGATTGCCCCAAGGCAGCCCAGGAGAGCCCCAAATTGCCC